ACTGTAAAAACCAGGAAGGGCAGGATACACCCTATAATCACGAGAAGTTGCTTCTGGGGATAGAGGGAAGTGAGACTGGGAAAGACAAAAAAATATCCTGAGGCTACTATGATTTTTTAATTTCATTTAAAAGATGCAGATATGAAAAATGTAAACATTGATTCTTGAAGATGAGTTATAAATTTATCATACATCATTTTTGCAGTATTTTTATATATTCAGAGTATATATACTATGGTGCTCATTATATTATTTGTGCATTACTTTTTTTTTTTGAGACATAGTGAGCTATGTAATTCAGCCTGGCCTTGAACTCACTAGGTAGCCCAGGCTGGCCTCAAACTTGCAGCAATCCTCCTGCCTCAGCTTCCTGAGTGCTGGAATTACAGACATGCGCCACCATATGCTTCTATTTTTTTTTTCCCGAATTATGAAACTTTCCTCTTCCTATCTCCCCACGGCCACCTAGGGTTTCAATTAACCAAGGGAGAAAGACAAAAGCTTACAAACAAGGAAGGGCCCAGAGGAAACACCCACATTGGCAGAAACCACAAAGCAAGTAGAAGACACTCAGCCAGCCCACTTTAAACAGTTTATTATCTCTTTTATTTTTTTTTTAGGTACCGGGGATCGAACTTGGGACCTTGTGCTTGCGAGGCAGGCGCTGGAACCACTGAGCTAAACCACCGGCCCTAAAACTTCTTCTTTTTTTTTGGTACCGGGGATCGAACTCAGGTCTTTGCGCTTGCACAGCAGGCGGCGAAACCACTAAGCTAAATCCCCAGCCCCCACTTTAAACAGTTTAAACAGAAATCATGCTTGCAAAAAATATTAATAATTTTTTAATTAATCAAAGATCACACTTCATACAGTTAACTGAACAATGGAAGCAGCTAGTGAAAAAGTCATGCCAATCCGGACATGGTAGCACACATGTGTAATCTCAGCACTTAGGCTGAGGCACGTAGATTGCCACAAGTCCGAGGCCAGCCTGGGCTACATATGTACTTCAGCCTGAAGTACATAGCAAGACCCTGTCTCAAAAAACCAAACAAACAAAACAGAAGTCACACTGATCATATTCAAACATCAACTCTGCCAGCCACCAGCTATGAGACCTTCAGCAAATTTTTGCTCAAGTTTCATTCCATTAATATGAGACTTACAGTGCCTGCCCTCAGGGGCTATGGTAAAGACTGACTGGGACATCACCTCTAACCTGTTTTTCATGGAGCTGGGCACGTAATTTTTCTTTTTGTACTGGGTATGGAACTCAGGACCTCGCTCTTGCCAGGCAGGTGCAGTGCCACTGAGCTACATCTCCGGCCCATGGGCACATAATTACTTAATCAATAAACAGTAGTTGTTGTTTATGTCAGAATTGGGATTTGAACTAAATGTGTGGGGAATATGTTTCAGCAAAGCTAACAAATATCCAAACCGATGTACCAGAAGAAATGATTATACAACACCTAAGAATGCCCTGTTTTCGATTAAAATGTCCAGGTCAAAGTATTGTGGCAATAAATAAATCAAATGGAAACTATGGGATGAAAGAAAAATAAATGCTATAAATAATAGCACTGCAGAGGAAGTTTTATAAATCCAACAAAATGAAAATTATCTTCATGTAATCACACGAACCCTTTACTGAACTACTTGGTAACATCAGTATAGGTATTATTTAGTTAACAGATGCCACTAAGAAAGTCCTTAGACAAGTGTCAAGTTTGAGAAGACAAATTTTTTTTTTTTTTTTTGAGACAGGGTCTCACTGGGTAGTTCAGGTTGGCCTTGAACTAACTATGCGGCCCTGGAACTCACAGCTACTCTCCAGCCTCAGCCTTCCAAGTGCTAGGATTACAGGTGTGCACCACCACGCCAGGCCTTTATAAAAGTTGCTAGGCGAATCCGAGTTCAATCCCCAGTACAAAAAAAAGAAAAAAAAGTTGTTAGGGGAAGAATATTTAAAAGCATACCTGGGGGCCAGGGATTTAGCTCAGTGGTTTCGCCGCCTGCTGCGCAAGCGCAATGACCTGAGTTCAATCCCCAGCACCAAAAAAAAAAAAAGCATGCCTGGAACAAAAGTATTTTCTAGACTCAGAAAAAAAAATTCTCTCCATAGGTGTTTATTAGGAAACTCTATATTATAATGGATTAAAAGTTTCTACTTCCCAAATTCAAAAGTGATATAAACACAAATCTTAAAATATACCTAAACCAGTAAATGTAAAAAATGAGATTTTTATCAATCCATTAAAAAAGTTTACTGACTTCTCTGGAGGGTCCATCCAAACTTGCACAGACAAAATAATCCCTATATTATATATAGTTTTTTAAATTACAGAAAAATGTAGGTTACCAAACTACTATGTAAGATGAAATGGTTTTGATGTTTGCAAATCAGGAAAGAAAAAAATGCCATAATAATTTTCATATAACTAAAAATGATTATAGATTGTTTGTGTAGGGTTTTTTTTCCTGAAAATACAAGTTGGATTTATAAGACAGGGAAATTTGAATATTGGTATTAGAGAATATAACATCATAATCTTTTTTGGGGGTTTTTTTTTGTTTTTTTTAGCTCAGTGGTTCTGGCGCCTGCCTTGCAAGTCCAAGGTCCCGAATTCAATCCCCGGTACCAAAAAAAAAACCATAATGTTTTAAAAAACATTTAATCACTGGGCCGTGGATGTAGCTCAGCATGAGTATTTGCCTGGAAAGCAAGAGAGCCAGGGTTTGATCTCTAGCATCAAAACAAATTTTTAAAAATAAAGATGATGGTATCGTGATTATGTTAATGAAATATAATCCTAAACTGTTAGAGATAGTGAAGTAATTTTGAAGCAAATGACTGCTAGGATTCGCTTTAAAATAAAATACTGACGGAGGCAGGAGTGGGGAAGGCAGAATAAATGAAAGGAGACTGGCCATATTTTGAAAACTACTGAATCAAAATGATGGGTACAAAGGAGCCATCATTTTCCTCTCAATACTTTCAAGTATGTTGAGAAACTCCATAGAGGCCGTGTGTGGAGGCCCATAAATCTCATTTACTCAGGAGACTAAGGCAAAAAGATCGCAAGTTGGAGGACAGCCTGAGCAATTTAGCAAGATTCTGTCTCAAAATAAAATATAGAAGGGCTGGGGATTTTGCTCAGTGATAAGATGCCTTGCCTAGGATTCAACAGGCATGGGTTCGATCCTCAGTATTGCAAAAACAAAAACAAAAAGCAAACAAACTAAAAACCAGAAAAACTGAAACCTTTAAAAGAGGTCAAATCTACATGGTAAAAAATTCTTCATAACAGAACAGATAAGAACAGGAAAAGATTACAAAGTCTTCCAACTCTGTTGTCACTCCATATCGAGCTAGAATGTTCTAGAATGTGCAGGAATACACTAGAACATTCCTTCCTCTTGTGATTTACCTATTTCTTCAGTTCCCAGTGACACTGTTTCCTCCAACAACTAGAAACAGAATTTAAAATTGTCGCCTCATAACATTAAATGTTTAAATAAGGTAGCACATGCAAGTACTTTTAAAAGTTTAAGACCTTCTTCCTTCTACAGTATGTGTCTCCTTGGTGACACATGTATTGGGAGTGAGTGGAGTTTTTTGTTCAAAGTGCCCAACCAAAATTTGATGACCAGTTTGGTCACTGGGCACCAGTCAGTTTTTAAGCACCGACAAAGTGTTAAAAGTACTCTATCAAGGGCCAGGGATTTAGCTCAGTGGTTCCCTGCCTGCTTCGCAAGCGCAAGGTCCCCAGTTTGATCTACGGTACCAAAAAAAAAAAAAATGAACTTGGTTGGGACTGAAAAGATGCAAGGAAAGATAATGGCCAGAAAGAAACATTCATTAATTCAACAAAGCATTCATTTAAAAGAAGATGGGAGGGCTGGGGATTTAGCTCAGTGGTTCAGCCGCCTGCTTCACAAGGGCAAAGTCCCCAGTTCGATCCCCGGTACCAAAAAAAAAAAAAAAAAAAAAAATCAAAAAGAGGCTGGAGCCAGGGATTTAGCTCAGTGGTTTCACCGCCTGCTGCGCAAGCGCAAGGACCCGAGTTCGATACCAGGTACCAAAAAAAAAGGGGGGGGGACTGGAGATGTAGTTAAGTGCAAAAGCTTTGGGTTCAATCCCTAGTACTGCAAAGAAACAAAAAAGCCCAAATAAAACACACTTTTGTTTTTTGTTTTGCTGTACTGGGGACTGCGGTGGAAATCCATTGTGTGGTGGGATTCAGACGACCGGTCTAGGCATCGGACAGACATTTGGAAATCATCTTTGTAGATGAGACAGCTGAACCCAAGGGAATGAGCTGGACACATCTGTATTTAAGAGGCAAAAAAAGAACCCGTGGAGACGCAGATATAGATGCTTTGGAAATAAACAAGCTGCGTTATCTCAAATCACCTCCACCGCGTCGTCCCAGGAAGAGGTGGCCAAGGATGCGGGCCACGCAGAGACACGGGGAGGAAGGCAGGGAGACGCCACATCTTCGGTGGCCTTGGAGGGGACCATTCTGGCCCGGGGGTGCGGCTCGGCGCCCGAGATGCGCAAAGCCAGCGGTCACGGGGCGCGGAGCGGCGGGCGCGAGGGACCCAGCAGAGCCCCGCGTACGCGCGTGGAAGCGCATTGGGTGCCCACGCGGCCGGGGAGGGAGCCCCACGTCCAGGGGCAGCGGCAGCAGCCTGGGAGACTGAAGATCTTAGGGGTGGAGGATTTGGGGGTCTCCCGGTCCACAAACCTGCCTCCAACTTTTCCCTTCTCCAGGCCGTGGATAACCCAAAAGTATTTTATTCTTAGGATTCTTATGGGCGGGGAAAAGGGAACAGGGGAGCCCACTCTCTGGCAGTGTCGCCTGGGCCGCCGCGCTCCAGCAAAATCCCTGGTGCGGGGGTGGGGGGGGGACAGAGGCGGCGATTCCCCCCCCGCGCGCGCGCGCGCCTGGGCCGCCCCCTGCAGGACCCGGGGAGCCGCCCTGTCGCGCACTCACCGCTCCGACTGCGAATAGTGGCACCGGCCCAGCAGGTTGAGCTTGCAGAGGTGCAGATTGTCGCAAGAACTTCTCTCGCAGAACTTGCGACGGCAGACGCGGGCTCGAGTGGTTGCCACCACCGAGCGGGTGACGCCGGCCCTCCCCCCGGTCTCGAGCACCACGAAGCGGTCGGGCCCGGCTTCCTTGAGCACTTCCAGGAGCTGCGCCTCGGAGAGCTCGATCTTTTCGAGCAGCGCGTCCAAGCTGAGGCGGCCGCCGTGGGCGCACAGGATCTTGGTGACGAAGCAGCAGACCGTCGGGTCCGCCATGGCGCGCCGAACGCGCTCCGCGAGAATCGAAACTTAGGCGGCCCCGGGGCGGCGCCTTTCTGCAGCCGAGAGCTTTCGCTTTCCCACTCGCCTCTAGGGTCCAGAGGCCAGGTCGCACCGACCGGGTCCCGGGGTCAGATTTAAAAGTCAGCGGCCACGGCGAGCTGGTGGGAAGAAAGGGAACAGGCGCGAGCAAATCTGCGGCGACCACTTCACGGCCCGGGCAGGCGCCACTCCCTGCCTCGGTTCCCGGACAGACAAGGGTGAGGCTCCCCGCTGAGCGCCCGAAGCTGCTGAGGAGAGAAGAGGAAGTAAAAGTGATCCTGGGGCTCTGGTGGAGACTCTTATAAGCAGCCCTGGAGGAGGCGAGTGACGTGTGTCGGGGGCCACTCGAGGCGGCCTCTGGCTCTCCGCCCCACCCACTCAGAAAGAGCTCTCCCCGGGCGCTCAGCCTCCCGCGTGGGTGAATCTTTGCCACCATCCCACCGCTTCAAGATCACTTCCTCGCGGTGCACTCGAAGCAGTAACTTGAGCAAACGTACACGACCATCAGACTGAAGCCTGGTGCCACCCGTTCCCAAAATCTCGACCCCGCACCCCAGATCGCGATCTGTCTCTTACCACAGATGCCTCTTAAAGAACAGCGATGGTTTCTCTCTCTCTCTCTCTCTCTCTCTTCTTTAGTCTTCTCGCGAGCTTTTTGAAGATCCCCTTCTTGGCCCATTCTGGCCTGCCTATAGTAGCCAACTTGGGTGCCCCAAACCACTGCTTACTCCCCTGATAACAGGAATTTACAGGCGTGCAAGCTTAGACATATCCCAAGATTTCAGACCGAGCCCCTACCAGAAAAATTATTTGTAAGTGAGAACCTTAAAGCTTCAGAAGATACAGAAAGAAATCTTATCTAAAATTCTTGTATCTGACTCTTTAAAGGAGTTACAAGCTCCCCAAAACACAGCGCCACCCCCGCCCCAGTTTCCTGTGTATTTTGCCTCGACGAGAAATTGCTTCATATGCATTAGCATCAAAAAGCCGATGGAACCTTCCATACTCTCCCATTGAAAACCTAAATACTACCTTAGCCCTCCTCACTTGTTTTGTTAAATTGAAATACACAAATCTTTAATTTGGTCTATTTCATTCAAAGCTCCAGAGTGTACACGTGAAAAAACCTGGTGTTTCCTCCCCTTAATCTGTCTATTCTAAGCTAATTTGAAAGTTCCCAAACTGTGGACCCCAAGTTGGAAAAGGGAAAAGTTTTCCTCCCAACACTCAAAAAATATAACAAATGGTTCATTGACCATATAGGAATACATCTTTTCAAAAAAATAATAAAATTCATGGGCTGGGGATGCAGCTCAGAGGTAGAGTGCTTGCCAAGCAGGTGTAAGGCCCTATTAAATCCTTAATGCAATACTAACAAGTACAGTTAGAAACAATGGAACTGAGAGAATCAGTTCCCTCTATTTAATTCTAAACAGTCCCTAGGGTCATTCCTGCTTCCACTGTCCTAAGAGAGGTGGAAAATAACATAAACACAGGAGCTCTAGATGCTCTAGGCAAGACCATGGGCCTGTTGGATCTCCTAGCCTGCTCTTCAGTCACCTTCGCCCTACTCCACCTCATTACGGGTTCATAAATATGTACTACATGTCATAAATATAATTAGGAGCAGAGTGAATTGTGGGATATGCACGCACATTTAGAGATAACACAGCACCCTGACAAGCATTCCTGTCAGTCACATCTAGAGATTCAGTGGGAGGCACTTAAGGGGAGGCCACTGGCCTCTAAATTCCAAAAGCCTGCCTTTATCCAGTGCTGCTGCTGCCAGCTGTGCCTTTTCTGTTATCCTGCCACCTTTTTCTGTCTCTGCCATATCTTCTGTTGGCCCAGACTTGCCCTGAGCACAACTTCCCATGATCTTCAATAAATGTAGCTGCTTGCTACTTACAACTGGGTATACACTGGCAGTTCTTTTCTCATCGGACACAAGAGCTTAGGGCGGGCATGTAGCTGATTGGTACCACACCTGGTAAGCTCAAGCAAGGTCCTGAGTTCAATCCTCAGTACTGAAACACACACACACACAAGAGTCTGGACTATATTGGCCTGTTCCATGGCAACAACACTAATAATAATAATAGAAATAGAAATAATAAGGTAATAGGTTAGCAAGGGTCCTTGTAATGAAAATTAAAACTGAAGTGTGAATTTGCAGCCCAAAGGTTTTAGTTAAAAGTAAGAGAAAATAAGGACGAGCAAAGCTCTGACAAAGATCAAGCTGGTCCCCTCACAGGGAAAGTAAGAGCAAAGAGGGAAAGTGTTCCAGCTCAGCTAGATGGAGGGAACACATTCTGATGTAGGGGTTCAGACTGACTCAACCGCAAATGCAGGAGGCCAGCTTTTAAGGACCCTCTGAGGTGGGTCAGGGCCAGGTTGATCATTATCTCAGGCTTGGCTTGAATCCTCCTGGCTTGAGGGATGATTCCATTCCCATGAAACAATTGATTATTTCTGCTTGGGGCAGTCTGTCATGTGAGGCTCTGCCATTCCTGGAATTCAGGTGACCACAGGCTTAGGACAATGGCTGGAGACTTCTAAGCGGTTGTTCCAGGGAGAAGATCTAGAACTGGACATTGTAAACACTGATAATCAGAAGTTCCTGTGAATCCCGGAAATTACATTCAGTGTCCTCTGTCTTGAAGGGGGAAGGCATAGGCTAGCCAAACTTTGGGCTAGTAAACTTTGTTCTGCTGACTTTGAGACAGACATTCCTTAAATGACTAACGTGTATACACAGAGCTGAGAAGAATTTGACCCAGCGTTTCACAAAATGAAGGTGAACCTTTGTTCCGCTTATAGTTACCTACTGGCCATTGTAGACCCAAGTGAAAAGTCACATGTTTTAGAAAAAAAAACAAACCCTGCTTTTAAGTCTCTGAATACCACAAAAGAAAACACAAGCAATGCTTTTAATGAGTAAGTGGTTATAGGACCAGGAGTTTGTCCTTTGTCCCTATGGTGGTCTCCAAGTAGTGACTATGTCAATAGTAATATCTAACTGCCAAATTAAAAATTCTTTGAAAATATAATGGGACTTCTCAGTGACTGGTGGAAAATGAATGACTCTCTCAGGAATAGAGTACTCTGGTAAGAAAACCAGCTAGGGCCGGGGATTTAGCTCAGTGGTTTCGCCGCCTGCTGCTCAAGCGCAAGGACCTGAGTTCGATCCCCAGTACCAAAAAAAAAAAGAAAACCAGCCAAACCTGGGGCCCATGTAGCATCATCTGACTTCTTGTTGCCTCTGGCTGATGCTTCTTTAAGCCACTTGGCCTTGTTTGTGGTCTGTCAGATTCCCAGGGACCTGGCATTATCAAGCTGACTAAGTTTAATGTGTTTATTGGCTAGCTTAGACAGTCTACTACGAACATGCGGAAGTCTAAGAAACCATCCTTGCACTCAAGGAGCATGGAGATTTGTGGCTAATGCTGTAGGAGATTCAAGAGTGCAGAGTCCTGATGAGAAAGAGTGCTTGGAAGTACAGAGAGACAGTTCCTCCAATTTGAAGTCATGGAAAGCAATCTGAGTTGTAGGACAGAAGGACAAAGAAGACATTTAGGGAATTTTTGAAATAGGTGCTGTCACAGCCCAGCTTCTCAAGAAGGAGTTACTGACATGGAATTAAGTACAGAGAGTTCCTGGGTGCAACACCGAAGTCAAGGGAGAAGGCATGATAGGACCAGGGGAGCTGTCAGACTTCCATACAAATGTGACAAAGTCTTTGCCAGCCCTCCAAGGAGCTCTGGAGCTGGAGTGCAGCCGTAGGCAGAAAAGGCGAGGCCCTTGTACCACTGGCTTACTGTCATTGGTGGGGGGCCAACAGGGACTTACAGGACTTTAGCTGGAACACTGGGACAGATCCAGAAGGAGCTAAATCTGTGGGCTATCAGCTTAGCATACTCCTGCAAGCTGAAGCTGGGCAGCAAGCCTTGGCTTGAAAGGCAACCTCAGTGACACAGTGAGCTGTAGTCTAGCTTCGCATCACATGGATCCTCTTCTGCATTTGTATGCAGGAAATAGCTCTTTCAAAACTGTTCTTCCTGTAAGGAAGCTTAGAAGAGGGAAGTTAATGGTGTGGCCCCTGCCACTGCAGCTGGTCCTCTTCACATACCTCCACTATCTGTTCTAATTCCTCTCACCCTTAGCTCCAACCTCAGTGGATCTCAGCAGCTTACCAGGTTAGGTGCCTCAATCCTCATTCCTAAGGGGTCCGAGCACATTCTCCAGCCGGGGTTGCTGCTCTTGTCCATTCACAGTCATATTAGGGCAAAGGGGGACCAAGAGATACCCAAATAGATCACTGGAATTCCACACACATTCCACCCTGCCCTGTTGAGTACTTCTAGTCTTAGCTCCTTTTGCTGATCAGCATCAATTACTTCTCAAAAGATGACCATTCCTTTTCTTACGTGCTAGTGTTTGACCACAGGAGGCTCAAGCACCTAGAAGCAGCCATCATTTGTAGTCCAACTGAATCTTCCTATGTCTCTGAGCAAGTAGACCTCTGACTCTGAAGAGTCCCCAGATGTGGAAACAGGAAAGCCCAATGAGTAATTGCAGTGATGTTAAGTGGAGTAACTTGCATCTCCATACAATCTTTCCATACCCACATACTCTTTCTGGTGAGGACATAGCACCATACTAGAATATTGTCTGACTCAAGGCATACCTCATCATGTCCCAGAGGATGTCATCATTGTAGTGTGTCACCCCATGCTACCACTTCAGCTGGATCTTTAGCCATTCCAATACTTTATCCAATAGTTGCTTCTGCATGGTGAGATATGTGATATGATCTATAGATTCCATGTTCATAGGATCAGTTTCCTCATTTCTTAAGCCAAGAAGAGTTGTCTGATCAGATACTATATGATGAGGGATTCCTGTCTTTGGATCAGGTAATCTTTAATCACTTAATCCTGATCAGCTGCCATCCATTTTCAGCTCTACCCACATATTGAGCTAACCTATCCTTAACCCAAGCTTGGTCTTCTTTCCTCCTTGTTTTGCCCTGGTGAAGCTGGGGAAAGGATTCTGGGGCAACTATAGTGAATGACAAGGAGATCTGGGTTACTTGCTCACAGTTTGCTTGTACCCTTCAATCTTGCTTGTGCTTGGTTCTAGAATGCACATATTTCATTTTATGACAGCTTTAGTACTAGTCTTGCCTGGCTTTATGACTTGATGTGTCCAACAGAACTTAGCTCACAATGGCCAT